CATAACAGGTTCGGAGGTTTTTGTATATTATTTGAATTGTTTGCGACGATGGATTTCTCGTCAATTAAATCATTAACCTTTGCATTTGTTTTTGTGTTAATAATTCATGAATTTGTAAATTGATTGCACGTTTATCGAAATTAAAATAACTGATCCAAGTGCGACTTTTGGATAAGTGCGACATTACTGTAATTATTGAACAATATAGTTCATGCCACTTTGACAGAAAATTTACCAGTAAAAAATTCGCTTATTACCATATTTGTACAAGAACGCACAACTGTAAAAATTTAAAATCAAACTCAGCGTTGCTACTGCACGCTCCAAAAACAATAACTCACTTCCAATACCATTTTCGGATACAACAATACATATATTTTCGTTGTCCTCTTATTACTGAGAGAAAAAACAAGAACAACATCTATTCCAAACCTGAAGATGTCTGTAGGAACAGACGAAAGCTTGTAGTAAAAAAATAAGAACTAATGCAGCAGAAATTTATAGAAACAAGGATCTTTTCATTCATAACAGGTTCGGAGGTTTTTGTATATTATTTGAATTGTTTGCGACGATGGATTTCTCGCCAATTAAATCATTAACCTTTGCATTTGTTTTTGTGTGAATAATTCATGAATTTATATATGTATATTTATATATAATGAAAATAAAATAAACCGCAAAAGTTTTTGGTTGAAATGTGGCTTTTTATTTTAAAATATTATATTATACTCTATTTTCCATAATTCTGCTACACGCGTTTCTGGATTCGCGACCTTCTTCAAGCAAGGATTATATATTTCCACATATAAGAATGAATCTTTTGCGTGGTAGTAATTCAAATGTCTTTCTTGGACATTTGAATCACTGCCACCAGTCCAAGAAATACATATGAATCACTACCACGCAAAAAATTAATTTTTATATGTGGAAATATCTACTCTTTGCTTGAAGAAGGTTGCGAAACCAGAAACCAGTGTAGCAGAATTATGGAAAATAGAGTATAATATATATGTTTTTTTAAAAAAATCCACATTTCAACCAAAAACATCTGCAGTTTATCTTCTTTTTTTTCTTGTTGTAGCAACTATAAACTCTTCCCTACACACACACACACACACACACACACACACACATATATATATATATATATATATATATATATATATATATATATATATATATATATATATATTCTGTAGTTCACTACTACTAACAAGCAGAAATTTTTTTCTCTGATGATGGCCATTTTGGCCGAAACTAGTCGAGGAATCTAATTGAAATAATAAAAAAAAGAATATTAATATACAAACCAATGTGTCTGAAGATTTAAAATTTTTAAATATTTTTTTTATTGTTCAAAACTTTCAAAAAATGTTGTTTTATACTGTTTATTCTGTGGCCGAAACGGTTCATGGCACGTCAGGCTATATGACGGTTCCGTATAGGATACAGGTTCGATTCCTGTCGGAGGACGAATATTTTCTATGAAAATTTCTCGGACATTCAGGCCGGTAAATGTTGTTTAATACTGTTTATTATAAAACAGAGCATTTACTTAAATATTTGTATCTCGAAAAAGAATGTATAAACATAAAAATGTATATATATATATATGTGTGTGTGTGTGTGTGTGTGTGTGTGTAGCGAGTCACAGAGAGAGATAGGTGTGTCAAAGGAATAGAGAAGAAAACATACAAGAGAGAGAGAGAGAGAGACACACACAGAGAGAGAGAAACAGATAGACAAAGAGAGGTTTAGTGAAGGAGTTAAAAAAGATTTACGATTTGAAGAAACAGAGAGAGAGAGATGTGAGGGAATGACAAATGAATAGAGAAGAAAACATAGAAGAGAGAGAGAGAGACACACACACACAGAGAAACAGATAGATAAAGAGAGATTTAGTGAAGGAGTTAAAGAAGGTTTACGATCTGAAGAAAAGGAGAGAGAAAGAGAGAGAGATGTGAGGGAATGACAAATGAATAGAGAAGAAAACATGCAAGAGAGAGAGAGACACACAGAGAGAGAGAGAGAGTGAGAGAGAGAGAAACAGATAGACAAAGAGAGATTTAGTGAAGGAGTTAAAGAAGGTTTACGATCTGAAGAAAAAGAGAGAGAGAGAGAGATGTGAGGGAATGACAAATGAATAGAGTGGAAAACCTATGAGAATTCTAGAGAATCAGACAAACACAGAGAGAATGTGATTTCCTGATCGGGGGAATGACCGATAGACTATATGTGTGAAGGGGAGGAGAGAGCGAGAGAAAGAGAGAGAGTGAGCCAGAGAGAGAGAGTGAGAGAGAGAGAGTGAGAGAAAGAGAGAGAGTGAGCCAGAGAGAGAGAGTGATAGAAAGAGAGAGAGAGTAAGAGAAAGAGAGAGAGTGAGCCAGAGAGAGAGAGAGAGAGTGAGAGAAAGAGAGAGAGAGAGTGAGCTAGAGAGAAAGAGTTATATAGATTTAATGGAAAGGCTATAAACTGTGTTCACTTCTGCGTGTAACTGTTGGGCCAGAGATGTGAGAATCGGCTACATTTTCGTGTGAAACGTCGTTATTGTGAGCCAGCGTTACGTGAACGACCACCCCTATCCTCATGTCAAAGCAGAATGAGGCCGGGTACTCTCAGTGCGCCGGCAGGGGTCGGGTATCCACCTCCTCCTTCGCAACTTCTCCATTACAAGTCGTAACAATCAGACAATGAATAGAGCTTCAAGAACGGTAATGTCATGGTTTATATAGCCGTGCACCTGTATACAGGTGTGGGCCAACACTACAAGAGAGAGAGAGAGAGAGAGAGAGAGAGAGAGGTGGGGAGAGAGATTCGAACGAGTGTACAGGTGTTGATTGTTTGAAGGGTGGGTTATTGGATTCTATCAGTTAATCGTAGATTACCATAAAAAGAACACTATAACTATATTTCCGAGTGAGTGATTTGTTTTTTTTTTACAGCTTATCAACCCTTTGAAGGTTAATTAAAGCCAGAAAATATTTTTTTTAGATTTGTTTGGAGATAGTAATGATTTACTCTCACAATTATTAATAATTAACCCATAGCTGGGGTAGAAGAGATGGATTCGTAACTTTCTCAAGAGGCATTTTGCACGTTAAGAAGAGAACAGTTTCAGTAGAGATGAAGACGCATTTTGCCTGCGGACATTTGCCAGTCTTGTAACTTTCACCTGAATTTTCTTCTTTTCGCTCAAGCGCCATCTTTGGTTCCAGTAAATTCGTAGCCGCACCACCACCATCACTGTCATCACCATCACCACCAACAACAAGTGTCAGTAGATTTAGTGTTATAGCGACAAAATGGCTTACATATATAGAAACAGATAATCATTCACATACCCAACAGATTGGTTGATTTGTTATTTACGGTTTATCGACTTTTTGAAGGTTATTTAAAGCCAGAAAATATTTTTTAGATTGTAAGATTTATTTTTGAGATTAATAATTATTTACCGATACAAGTAATACTAATTAACCCATAGCTGGAGTAAAAGAGGTTGATTCATACTTTTTCCCAAGTGTATTTGCGCGTAAGGGAATATAACGAAGCCAGCGGGAATTGGAACTCTGCTCCAAGCTTACAGCACCTGGTCCAAGTGGTCACCCATCTAGTTATTGGCCAGGCTTGACCTTGCTTAAATCCGGTGATTGTAGAAGAGCCGGTGTTTCAATGTGATATAGCCGTAAGCCAATAATTTTTTTTCTGTGGGTTCGCCAAACTCTCTTAAAAGTATGATATATATATATATATATATATATATATATATATATATATATATATATATATATATATATATATATATATATATATATATATATATATATTATCATCCATAGACGGACTGCTATATATGTATGTGTGTGTGTGTGTGTGTGTGTGTGTGTAATGGCAATAGAAATGTAAAATTCGCCTACGGCCATATCACCTTGAAACTTTCCAGTACGATCACCGAAGTTCAGCAACATTAAGCCTAGTCAGTACCTAGATGAGTGACTGCTTGGGAATACCAGGTTCTGTAAGCTTGTTGGTGTAGTTCCGATACCACCCAGGAAGTTAAGCAACATCCACCCAGGTCAGTACTTAGATGGGTGACCACTTGGGAGTACCAGATGTTGCAAGCTTGGATGTGCTGGTGGTGCCATAGATAACGGCCCTGAATTGTTAATCGGAGAGCCGAGTTCTGATACGATCACCGAAGTTAAGCAACATCCACCCAGGTCAGTGCCTAGATGGGTGACCTCTTGGGAATACCGGGTGCTGTAAGCTCGGATGTGCGGTTAATGTAATGGATAACGGCTTGGAATTTCTTGGAAACCATATGTCTTTTCTTTTTCTATTTTTATGCCTACATCCCACTTTAGATATTTCAGTGTTGCTTATGGGGGTTAAATAAAATAACTTGTTTTGAAAATCACTTTTGTGGAGAGCATTTTCATACAATTCTTTATTTTTATTAAAGATTTTTTTGGTGGGCGATAATTTACTAATTCTGGTGCTAACGGTAGAAATGGTGCTCACAGAAATGTAAAAGCGCATGGCATTGGGGTGGTTGGAACTAACATTAATATAATTCTCTTTATGGTAGGGTTTAAAGGTTTTATCATTAAGCTTAAGGGTGATGTCTAGGTAATTAACTACTTTAAGGTTAGAAGAAATCTCAATCTTAAGCCCTAGTAATTTAAAGGCCCTAATGATTTTGTTTTGTAACAACGCGGTTAGCGGACCATTATTTTTGGGGATGAAGATGAGTCCATCATCTCTATATAGGCCCACGGTTTTATAACAGTTCTATAATTATATGCAACTCCCTTTGATTAAATATTTTTAAGAATTTCGGGGATTAATTATTTTTACTAATAATTTAACTTACCCTTAAAGTTATAAAAGGATAATTTATTCTAAATTTAAATTGTTTTATCTTTAAAGCCTCATTCGTCAATAATGCAAAACCCCTAAATCTATTCTTTCTTTATATTCATTGTCTAAATACGGATCATTGTTCAAATTATTATTGTTGTTAGTGTAATTCGGTATTCTCTAGCGGGTGTTGACCATGTTCGCCAAGTCTATGAATATAGAATAGAGCGCAGTACGTAATCGGTTCAATGAAACAACGTTAAAGATTAACACTCACTTGTCAGACACTCTACTGAATCTGACTATATCGCCAATACCACCAGCAGCTGTTCCGTAATTCTTCAGTCTTCGATATCAAAGATTGGCAGTGAATATTCGGAAAAAAAAAACATGGCCGCCTTTATACATGTCGCATTGAATATTCTGAGCCTTCTGATTGGTTAACCCTTCTATTGGTGAACTATAAAATGAGTCAGCTCATTTTGGCTGGCTCACTAGTACGGCGGTACCCAAAAATTCCAACAGCGGTAACCCAAATTCCTTCATATATAATTAAAGGTTTTGGTCATAAATAAACCCCCCCTTTCGGTTTCAACACCTCACACTTCATATAACCGAAATTAAGATCGTATGGTTAATATCAGGTTTGATTCCAGTGGACATCTTCCACTTTTAGAGAGATAAATCCCGCCCTCTCCTTACCACTAACTCGGGCTTTTTATTTAGCGGAGGCGTCATTTTGGGTAGGGTCGGTATTTTTTCCTCGACTTCTATCTAAATTAAATTCTAAATCCTTGATTCCGAGACACATTCAGTCTAGGGTTTAAGAGGACTGGCGCAAGGTTGAGCTGGCTGAAATAGGCTATATCCATATAAGGTAATTTTGAATTTTTTGCTGTGTAATATATGGTCTGTTATAATAAATACATTGAGATCTCTTTGTGGATCAGTTTAATATTTGATATTACTAGGATCCATCTGGATTGTATACCAACGGATATATTACATGTACTAAATATATATATATATATATATATATATATATATATATATATACTTTAGGTCAGAAGTTTTAGGTTATCCTTGTTAATTTTTTAAATAGGACCAAAAGGTAGTTGTTTTGTTCTTTAAATAAGAGAAAATTATTATACATGGTTAATAAAGTTAGACATGATTTTTTATTAGAAATTTTATAACAAAAAGAAAAAAAAGCATTTTATCATTAAATTGATTCCATTCTTTTTCCAATGACTGTAAGAGGTCTTTTTCATTTTTCTTTTTCAGTCTTCTGTTAAGTTCACCCTATGTGTTATGGGACCTTACCCATAATAACATAATGGAGTATTCCATACGTAATAAATATTGCGCCTCAAGAGGAAGCAGGGAGTTCAGTCCAAAGTCGGGCGACCGGCTGATCGGTTGAACTCTCTACCTTCGGGCGGGAAGGAACCCGAACGAGGCTACGCCGAAGGGCGGAGTCTCTTTCGGGGAGGTAAACCGACCCTGAACCCGTTTATACGGGTTTAAAAGGCATATTTTTGGCCGAGCCCACGGGCTCGGAGATCCCACGGGCTCGGAGATCCCTCGTTAAACCGGCCTTGTGCCACATGATGCCTTCGTGGGGGGGGACTAAATACTGTTCAGTCTGAAGTCTTGAGTGAGGTCCGTCAGAAGTCCGTCAGGAGTCTGTCAGTCAGTCAGAGCGAGCGAGTCAGTCAGTCTGCGCCTCAGGAATAGTTCAAGTCGAGTCAGTAGTTCAAGTCGAGTCAAGAGTCGAGTCAGAGGCAGTCCGAAACAGAGTCGCGTTCAGGCAATTACTACAAGACATTGGAATAGTGATACTGGTCGAGACTACATTGTTCTCCCTACTAAGCCTGATTGTTCGTCCTAACACTTTCTACTTCTCTGTATATATTCCTGTTTGTAATATATCTGTTTTATTTCATATCCGTATTCGAGTTCTTATTTGGTTCTACCTTGGACCATTACCGTGGTACAAGGACCTTGAACCATAACAATATGCTAATTTTTGGGGTAGCTTCAAACTCTCTAACTGTAATGTAAATACAGTGGCCTAAGAAAGGTTTTTAGCCAGGAGAAACAAACTACATCCAATTTCAAAATTTAATTACGTAAACCCAACTCAACATAAACAAAAAGTATTTGGAATTAGTATGGAGTAAGTCCTCCATTTGTTAGTTTCAGTGCTTGTATTCGATTTTTCATGGATTTGATCAAGTTATCAATAATCGTCTGAGCCATATATTTAGCCACTCCTTTAGCAATGTTTCTTTAAGGGTTGCCACTGATGTGATTTTCGTTGCACGCTCTTGAATCTTCGGTCAAAGTGCTCCTAAACGTGCTCTATTGGATTCATGTCAGGGCTTTGGGCTACCCATGGCAGTGACTTGATTCCTTGCAATTCCTTCCAGGCCTTTGCTACATTGCTCGTATGATATAGCGCCCCATCTTTTTGAAAAAGGGAGACATTCTTTTCAATGTGATTAGTTTCAAATAGTGGGAGTAGTCCTTTCTCTAATATTTGACAGTATTTTGGACCATTCAACCGCTCGTCAACAACAATCAGCTCAGATTTCCTTCCAAACCAGACAACGCTCCGCACCATTATTCTAATCCCTCCATGTTTCCCGGTTGTCTGCAGACATTCAGTGTTCCAAGTCTCATTTTGATTTCTCCAAACATAAATCTATCTCGAATTTGAATATTGGCAGAATTTACTGTCATCTGACCAAATTACAGACTGCCAAAATTCATAATCTTTGCTCTCGAATTCTCTCGCCCAGTCCACACGAAGGTTCCTGTTAACCTCTGAAATCAAAGGCTTCTTTCTTGAAACTCTTCTTTGAGAGCCTAGCTCTTTCGGAGTCTTTCTCATCGCATATGGCGAGATTTCCATGCTGTTGGCGACATCTTTGACGCCCTGACTACGGTTTCTGATGACTTCCCTCTTCAGCGCCCTTTTCGTTCACTCAGACATGATGCTTGGTCTTCCTGAACGTTGTTCCACGCGACAATGGCCTTTTTTTATTAAATTTCTTGACAATAATATTAACCGTTTGATGATTAACATGGAAAAACCTAGCAATTCCTCTTTTTGGCTTGACACACTGATGACACCCTGTTATTTGCCGTTGTTGAAATTCACTAATTTCCTTGCTTCCGCGAAATTTCGTTGCAAAATATAAGTCAACTATTGTTCATAGATGAGAGTAGCTTGAGACTAACACGGTACTGTCTGAAAAAAGAAGAGACATTATTACGCAAGCCAAAATTGCTGTAATCAAGGGTGGCTCATATTTATTAAAACGTTTCGGCCGTTGTACACTCCGGCCTTCTTCAGGTGGTTGGAATGTCGAACTGAATCCTTTATTTTGCTTACTGAGGTAGACTGTTCTAGTTCCACGTGCCATGTTTAATGGATGTCACTTATCAGTTATCTCCAGTTAATTTCCCTCTTCAAGTTCTCCTCTGCCTTAACCGGGTATTGAAATCTCACTCTTTGGGTCCTGTCACTTGATCTAACTAACATGACACGTGGAACTAGAACAGTCTACCTCAATGAGCGAAATAAAGGGTTCAGTTCGACATTCCAACCACCTGAAGAAAGCCGGAGCGTACAACGGCCGAAACGTTGTAATAATTATGGCGACAAAGATGATGACAATAGTCCGAATAATGTAAATAGTGTAGATAATACCACATCTCAGAAATATAGACAGATACTAAAAGGCCGAAACGTTGTAATAATTATGGCGACAAAGATGAGGACAATAGTCCGAATAATGTAAATAGTGTACAATAATAACTCATCTCAGAAATATAGACAGATACTGAAAGGCTGAAACATTGTGATGAATATGGCGATAAAGATGAGGACAATAGTCCGAATAATGTAAATAATGTATATAATACCTCATCTCAGAAATATAGACAGATACTGAAAGGCCGAAACGTTGTAATAAATATGGCGACAAAGATGAGGACAATAGTCCGAATAATGTAAATAGTGTACAATAATACTGCATCTCAGAAATATAGACAGATATTGTTTTAAACAATTTATGGCAAATTTTAATCGATTAATTTAGACGTCAAAAGAAAGCTAAAATTAAATCCTTATGATGATAAAATATGTTGTATTAAAGTTATTGGATTTATTATGAAAACTTCAGTCTGGAGTTATTATCCATATTAAACTAATATTAACTTAAGACCTGTGAAATCTAAAAAAAAGCTATCTTTTTTTTTCTTTTTTCCATAATATATGTTGACACATGGGTAAAGGATCTAACAGATGCTAAAAAACAGAGTGAAGGAACGTACACATGGGAGATATCAAAGGAGCTTCACAGAGATCATCGTGCGATAAAGGAGGCTGTTGAAATTATGACAAATGTGACAGAGAGAGTCTAGGAAACACACACACACACACACACACACACACACACACACACACTCGTATAATTTTTAGTGAAATTGGAGTGGATTTGAACAGCGAAATTACATCAGAGCATTTTTGTTTACTGATGTGGAAACCTGATCTAGGACAGGAGCTGTACTCATTGGAACTGGGTCATTAGCAGACAATGGAAATTGTCTAAATAATTTTTATTAATTAAAACTTGGAATAGAGCTGAGTAAGCAAGGAGGACCTTTAGAATTCATATGATTTGGGTTGAAACAGCCAAAACCCCGTGATAATCGCGTGCGAAGTAGTAGAGCCAAGGTTCAGTTGTAACCAGCCGGATAAATGCGTAGACGTAGAGGCAGACGGAAGAGAGAGACTGAAGAGGCAGACGGAAGAGGCAGACGGAAGAGAGAGAGAGAGAGAGAGAGAGAGAGAGAGAGAGAGAGAGAGAGAGAGAGAGAGAGAGACGGAAGAGGGAGACGGAAGAGGCAGATGGAAGAGGGAGACACAGAAGAGAATTAGCCCGGGCAAGAGTTCCGCTAGAGATAGTAGAGAGTCAAGTTGGAGACTCAAGTAGGTGAGAAAGTGACGTCAGAGATTGGAACGAAGCGTCCACTAATATATACTGTTGATATAAGTACCGCTGCTTCTTCTACCACGAATATTACTACTACTGTTACTACTGTTAAGGAGGAACGCCACTATAAACATTACGCCGCGCACAGAAATCTTATTCCCCCATCGCAAGAGTCGTATATCGTTCTGAGACGATTTAACAACAAGTTAATCATAACACACACACTTCCACTCTGTCCAGAATCCAGTGTATGCATTTTTACGTCAATTACTTTTCTTTTCTGTAACCTGTTTCTTTTCTATACTATACACTTCTGCTATATAAAAGACATTAAAATTCAATCATTGAATAGTTGTTTGTCCAGCTTTCTGCAGATATTAATTTTTTTGCTGCATTCTAAATTTCTTAGCGCTGACTCTTCAGCCGTGTCTACATCTTCAGTCGACCGTGAATGGATGAAAATCACTTCTGCTTTCTGGATCAAACCAATCACAACGTGGGCAGGAAGCAGGATTAAACCAGTGGACCGGTCGAATAATCTACGGATGCTCAGGGGACCTACGGTCACTCCCTGAAGTTCAGTTAGGCCGAGTAGGCACTTCAACCCAGAGAGTAAGACGGAGGTTGAGGGGCTGGGGCGAAAGTGTTAGACAAAGCTGAGAATGAGAAGCAAATGAAAAAGGTTTTAAGAACTTATCTCCTCGATGGGAACGTAAAATTAAAGCGACTTATAAGCGAAACAACCACGTTTGATCAGGGATCAAATCTTTTATTGAGGATTGAGGGAGCCAAGAAAGTGTAGAAAACTTCAAAAACTTTATATCTATCTATCTATCTATCTATCTATCTATCTATCTATCTATCTATCTATGGCACCTCGATGTTTGTCTTGCTGGTTCCCTTACGACTGAGTAGTGATTTCCATTGAGAACTTACTACTCACTGGGTTCTCCATACTGTTGGCCTTGTGTCGCATCTAAGATTATTAAATCACTATAATAATAACAATCTATCTATCTATCTATCTATCTATCTATCTATTTATAGCACCTCGATGTTTGTCTTGCTGGTTCCATTACGACTGAGTAGTGATTTCCATTGATAACTTACTACCCATACTGTTGGCCTTGTGTCGCATCTAAGATTATTAAATCACTATAATAATAACAATCTATCTATCTATCTATCTATCTATCTATCTATCTATTAATGGCACCTCGATGTTTGTCTTGCTGGTTCCATTACGACTGAGTAGTGATTTCCATTGAGAACTTACTACTCACTGGGTTCTCCATACTGTTGGCCTTGTGTCGCATCTAAGATTATTAAATCACTATAATAATAACAATCTATCTATCTATCTATCTATCTATCTATGGCACCTCGATGTTTGTCTTGTTGGTTCCCTTTACGACTGAGTAGTGATTTCCATTGAGAACTTACTACTCACTGGGTTCTCCATACTGTTGGCCTTGTGTCGCATCTAAGATTATTAAATCACTATAATAATAACAATCTATCTATCTATCTATCTATCTATCTATCTATTTATGGCACCTCGATGTTTGTCTTGCTGGTTCCATTACGACTGAGTAGTGATTTCCATTGAGAACTTACTACTCACTGGGTTCTCCATACTGTTGGCCTTGTGTCGCATCTAAGATTATTAAATCACTATAATAATAACAATCTATCTATCTATCTATCTATGGCACCTCGATGTTTGTCTTGCTGGTTCCCTTACGACTGAGTAGTGATTTCCATTGAGAACTTACTACTCACTGGGTTCTCCATACTGTTGGCCTTGTGTCGCATCTAAGATTATTAAATCACTATAATAATAACAATCTATCTATCTATCTATCTATCTATCTATGGCACCTCGATGTTTGTCTTGCTGGTTCCATTACGACTGAGTAGTGATTTCCATTGAGAACTTACTACTCACTGGGTTCTCCATACTGTTGGCCTTGTGTCGCATCTAAGATTATTAAATCACTATAATAATAACAATCTATCTATCTATCTATCTATCTATCTATTAATGGCACCTCGATGTTTGTCTTGTTGGTTCCATTACGACTGAGTAGTGATTTCCATTGAGAACTTACTACTCACTGGGTTCTCCATACTGTTGGCCTTGTGTCGCATCTAAGATTATTAAATCACTATAATAATAACAATCTATCTATCTATCTATCTATGGCACCTCGATGTTTGTCTTGCTGGTTCCTTTTACGACTGAGTAGTGATTTCCATTGAGAACTTACTACTCACTGGGTTCTCCATACTGTTGGCCTTGTGTCGCATCTAAGATTATTAAATCACTATAATAATAACAATCTATCTATCTATCTATCTATCTATCTATCTATGGCACCTCGATGTTTGTCTTGTTGGTTCCCTTTACGACTGAGTAGTGATTTCCATTGATAACTTACTACTCACTGGGTTCTCCATACTGTTGGCCTTGTGTCGCATCTAAGATTATTAAATCACTATAATAATAACAATCTATCTATCTATCTATCTATCTATCTATCTATGGCACCTCGATGTTTGTCTTGCTGGTTCCCTTACGACTGAGTAGTGATTTCCATTGAGAACTTACTACTCACTGGGTTCTCCATACTGTTGGCCTTGTGTCGCATCTAAGATTATTAAATCACTATAATAATAACAATCTATCTATCTATCTATCTATGGCACCTCGATGTTTGTCTTGCTGGTTCCCTTACGACTGAGTAGTGATTTCCATTGAGAACTTACTACTCACTGGGTTCTCCATACTGTTGGCCTTGTGTCGCATCTAAGATTATTAAATCACTATAATAATAACAATCTATCTATCTATCTATCTATCTATCTATCTATCTATCTAAAAACTCTTCATATGTATCCAATTTGAGGTTTATGTGAACCCAAATATTATTTGAGTTCATTGAACCGGCTGAATTAAAAATAAATAACAAATTAAAATGGATAACATATCAGTGTCTGTTATTGAAAACAAGAAAAATATTTATGATTTATTCTATCAAAGGTGTTGATCAATAATTGATGAGTTTATTACCATATTCTTGAAGCAACAAGCAAAAAGTGATTTTATGGATTTGTATAATAACTTCAGACGACAGTTTTTTTTAATAATAAATGCAACACGCTGAAGCTACATAACAATTTAACACAAGCTCTTTTTAATGTCTAAATTGGAGTCATTGAGGTTTACCTGATTTGCATAATGACTTCAGATGTTCTGAATACCCCCCACAAACACAAACACACACACACACATATATATAAGTGGACATGGAATTCAACATGCAGTGGCGACAGTCTGTTTCATGCTAAAAGCAATCGTCAGGCCATATGCGTTGTGTTTTTGCTCGACTATTTATATATAGTGATGCATTGTGGCTCGTTTATTGTATTGCATTGTGGGTAGTTTATTGCATTATTCTAACGGTTATTTTGGTTGGCGGTAACGGTTATGTTTGGAATCATTCTAGGGCTATTGAGTGGAAATACTTATGGATCTGGATGCAGTTTTTTTTCTATTGATAGTGTTGTTAGTTAACTAACGACTAATAAGTAACCAAAAATGTTCACTTTTATATTTATATCTGCGTTATCCCTGATATTGAGTACTTTAGCCCATACATATTAAAACTATATTTTCTCTCTCTCTCTCTCTCTCTCACACACACACACACAGATATATATATATATATATATATATATATCAGTCAATTACGTGCCATGCGTGATACCATAGAACTCTGTCTGTCCTGCTATTTACCCATAGCTGACGAAAGAAGAAAAGGATTCATACTAATGCCTTTTACATGCTAGTACCCGTGGGAAAGGGTATTAGCACATTAGTGAATATAATGGATTCGACTGGAATTCGAACTCGGCTCTCCGATTCCTCAATCCGAGCCGCTATCCATTATATATATATATATATATATATATATATATATATATATATATATATATATATATATATGGTGTATCAAAATATTTTTACAAATTTTGAGGGCGGGTTCCTCACACCAAAACAAGGACAAAAGTTCATATAAATATATGATCGCAAATCATTGACGATAGACGCTGTTAGATGTATAATCCAAGAAACAATCCAAAATACTTTTAAAATCTTTGGAGATGGCTTTCTGACAATAAAACAAGGTAAAAATATTCATATAAACATATGCCCCAAACCCCATCGTTGTACCTCAACAGACCAACTCATGACAAAAGTTCCAAATGTCCTCCGTTTACTTCTACACAGGTATGCACCCGTCGCATCATTGACTGGCGGACCCTTTCGAATACTCCCACGCGGTGTCGACTGGCTTCGCAGCCTCCCACCCCCATGACATGTTGATGAAGCGTCTCTGAATTATTAATCTCTGCTGCATAAACCAATTGCTTTAGGTACCCTGCCAAAGATAAAATTCCAAATAATTGAGGTCGGGGAACGTGCTGGGAGATCATATAGATCTACCAGATAATCATCTACAATTCCAGCCGACAATTTAATCGTAAACTGATGCTGGTGTTTAGCTCTATTGTGCCATACGGATTCCGCCCACAAATGTTGGTTGTGTTAAGTTTGTTATTCCATCTCTTTCAAAATGTTGCCTCATCCGTAAACATGACTGAAGAGACAAACAACGGATCTGTAGTGCAATAAACCAACGGCAAAAGTTTACCCGTGGTGAGTGATCAGAGGGCGAAAGACCCCGTACACGTTTCAAATGATACGGTTACAAGGGATGCTCTTCAAGTACACTTCATGAGGTACTATGAGATGTACGACATTCTAGGGCCACTTGATACCTGGATCACCCCCGACAGCCTGTAGAATGTGTTGTTTGCGGTCAGGCGTAAGGGGCGGATCTCATTTCATTGTTTGTGGTGCCACGGATCCTGGCCCAGAAACGCGACGATAAACAACAGCAAAGTTTGGATGAAACGGAAAGTGATGCAGCCGGGCAGCCTCACGTCCAGTACCATTCGCGCGACCGTATGTAAAAGTCATATCTGCCTGCTCACGATATAAATATCCTGCCATTTTTACATGGAACCCTTCTCATTTAACTCACTACTACACACGTTAAACGTTGAA